CAAGGCCAGAGCTCTATCTACTGCACTACCTAGCTGCCCTTAAATGTTTTTCATATTACAGGGCCATTTTTTTTTCCTCCCTCTGATTTCTCCATCTAGTGAATAGAAACTAGAATATCATGTAGGGGAATGACATGTAAGGCAGTTTATTTAGAATTAATATGAACGAGGCATAACAGACCTGGAAATAAAAACTGGATTCAGATTTTAAGGCTTTAAGTGCCAAAGGGATGAGTATATTTTATTCTCATTGGCAAAATAAAAGTCGAGCAGTCACGTATCCTCTCTCATCAGTTATCATACAAAGTGGTGGGTCAATCCTTTGACCTTAAATTTGTCTTAATGTCTTATCCTTTTGTAGCTATTTTTTATGTAAAAGCTAAATCATATCAGTTCCCTGAAGATTTTCACATTAACCCCCATTTAAACAGAACAGTTTAAAACCATGTAGGCATTCATGTGTAGGCACAGACTGACCCTCATTACTGTAATGTTTTTCTCACTTTTGCCTTGTCGATCTCTTAGCGTCCTTCATGGCTCACTTAAAACTATTGTTTTATTCTGCTTAGCCCAGGAGGGCAACCTGTAAGTGACATATAAGAGTTTGAGGGGAAAATTTCGACTTGATTAGGTCAATTCTTTGATCCACTTTTCCCCAATATATCTAGGTTCATCCAGCCTTTTGTCATCCATAGCTTTCCTCAACCTCTGCTCATTCTAAGTTTTGGTGCTCGAGACACTATTGTCAAAGCTATGCCATGCTTGTATTCATCCTTTACAGATTTTAAAAATACAAGTTGGTTGTTGAGTTGCTCATGCACTTATCAACGTTCGTCTTTTCAGACAAGTTCCCTTTTTCTTGGAATTCCATTTGTATCTTTCGAATTTTGTTAAAGAGCTTCACATGCCTTCTGAACCAGTTTCTCCTGTAGAGTTTTAGTATATAGGCTACTCCTTAGCCTTACTGTGAACCCTAATGTGCATGTCAGGATATTCCTTTTCTTCTCTACCACAATTCCAAGATGCTCTCCCATGGTTTCCACCATTTCCATGTCATCAATCAACTGCTACTTGTTGGTGAGAATTAGATCCGGAATATAATTTTTGGATGAAATCATTAAGGGGGCTGAGGCAGAGTGGTAGAGGGAGATTTAGCAGATGTCTGGATAACTTATGTCCATCACTGTTACATCTCTGTCAGGGCTATGGTATTTCCCAAGCCTATTTCCTCTTTCCAGGTTATCTTAACAATAATAGCTAATATTTATATAAGACTCTAAGGGTTACAGAGCACTTTATCTATGGTTCTTCCATTTGATCCTCACAAATACTTTCTAGAAGGTAGCTATGATTCCCATTTTACAGGTTGGGAAACTGAGAATATAAGTGACTTGCAAAACCCAGGGTCATAAAGCTAGTGTCCAAAGCAGGATTCAAACCCGTGTATTCCCAACTCAAGCTGGACAGAGTCCAGTACTTGGTATCAGCACACCATCCTGGCAACATTCAAGCAGGCAGTTAGCATTGTGGGACTCAGGCACAGGAGAGAAATTTAGGGATAGCTATAAAGATTTGGAAGTCATTTTCTCGGTAACAGAAGCTAGGATGGTGGTGATCACCAAAAGAAACAAAGAACTGAAGTAAAGGAATTACTCAGAATAAAATGAGTGGAGCTAATATGTAGAAGTGGTTAAAGGTTCAGAATGCCTACATGTTTTTAAACTGTTCTGTTTAAATGGGGGTTAATGTGAAAATTTTCAGGGAACTGATATGATTTAGCTTTTACATAAAAAATAGCTACAAAAGGATAAGACATTAAGACAAAAAAAACAGATCATGTTGGAAAAACATTTCCTGCTTCAAAGAAACTATTGAGGAAGTTGTTAAATACGGATACATACTACAGAAGTATTAGGTGCTTCTATAAACTTCTAATTTCTAGTGAAAACAGAGTCCTATAGTACAGAGAGAGCCAGCTGGTTATACTAAGAGGGCACATTAGTGTTTTCATAATTCAAAGCTGTAAGTAGTTAAGAACATCTGATGTGAAAGTTGCTTGAAAGGCCCAAAGCACAGAAGCAAGAGAAGTGTAGTCATGCAAACTACTTCCTTCTTAGCCCTTAAATATAAAGCCAGGATTCCACATAGTGATTTAAGAGTTGAAGTTTAATGGGAAAAGATGTGATCTACATTTGTGGAGCAACCGTAATATTTTTGTTAGTGAGTACTCGAGAGAAACTGAATCAAACAAAAAAAGGAACCAAATTATACCTTAGGTACCAAATTTTACTTTAAAAATTTTAATCTTAAATTCTGTATTAACAAGGCAATAAGGATTTATTAAGAATTTACATATGCCAGGCCTTGTAGAAGGTGCTAGGGGATATAGGGATATAAAGACAAAAAATGAGAAATACTCTGTGTCCATTCCTTTTAAAAAGTGTATTTTATTCATAAAAATCCACATTAGGTATGGATGCAAATGTTGCTTGCTCCAACTCAATTATTGATATCTAAATGGGGAAAGTCTATACATTTGGACTAAAGCCACAGCAAGGGCTATCATTCACTTGCTACCTAGATTATGGTCTCTAAAACGCAACAAACTATGGTTAAGAGCTTGCAAACTCAAACTTAAGAAGAGATGACAAATGTCAAAGGGAGTAGATAATTTAGTCTATGACCCCCAAAAGAAAAATTGCAAACTTTTTTTTTTTAAATGAAAGAAGCATCTAGAATATGTGACAACAGAGATCCTGGCAGCCAGTGTTACACAGAGCTGAATACTGTAATATTATAGCTTTTGAGGGTCTAAAGGGTACACAAAAACAGTGGGAAAATACAATATCTGTAGTTTGGCATCTGTCAAAACCATGCATGTGTTTAAAAAGGACGTAATCTGACAAGAAAGTTTCCAGGGAAGAAGGAAGGATTTGTCAATGGGGAGGATAAAAATGGCAAAGCACAGAGGATGGGAGACAGGGATCCATGTTCAGTATGACTGAATGTATCTTCAATGAATAGATCTTCTTCAAATGAATACAACTTGTTCAATAACAAATGTCACTTAACATAAATGTGTCACAGTACTGATAAGTGTGCCTATCCATAACTATGTAAAAGCACTTGTCTTGCTAAATGGATTTTAATAAAATTCAGCATCACACATGCACACACTATCATGGAAGGGAGGGGGAGGGGCACAACAGTGAACTAGAGAACAGAGTTTGGGAGTCACTTCATTTACTGAGCACCTATGGAAGTTTTGGGCATATGTAAACATGTGAACACTGACAGCAAAACATTAGCACTGACAATATTCACATTTAGATACAATGATCCTTGAACACACATGAGATATTCTCTCTCCCAACCACCATCCTTGTTCCAAGTTTCCCTGACCACTAAAAAGTTTCTTATATTACCTATCCTGGAACACCGTATCATAATACTCTAAATTATAAAAAAAAAAAAAAAGTATCATTTACTTGACATTTTAAGGGTTTTGATAAAGCACCCCACAAAAGTGAATATTCCAGACAACAAAAATTTACCACTTGTAAGTGCCACAACTTTTTATTTTAACCATTTGGAAGACTTCTCAAATGTATTACTAATTTTCCTAACTTTCTTAATATAGTAAGCATAACCTAATCTTTTTTTGTAAGGAATTATCATCTCCATAAGCAATTAATTATCATGCTATTCTGCAATATTGCAATATCCTCAGGATTTACTGAAGTAAATGTAAGTTGCCTGTACAATTAAATGACCCCATACTGCTAGGCTCATGCTTGCCTATAGCTGCAGGCTGGAAAACCAAGCCAGCAAACTGATTCTAATGTATCTCAAATAAAGAGTAAATGGACCCTGAACAACAAACTGGAAACCATCCTGAACTATGAGTAATATGCATGAACTTTGGTATATTCATTTTAGTTGCTCAATAGCTATATTGCTTACTTCATAATTTCTTTCCCCTTACTTGGCTCAATCTGCTTTCACACTTCTTTTCTTAGAAGACTATCACTGGCGGTAGCAAGAGCCCCTGAACCTGGAGTTACAAGAGAGGAGTTTTAATCCAACCTGTAACCTTGGACAACTCATTATTTCATTGACCTTCAGTTTCATTAACCATAAAATGGCAATAATATTTACACTAATTCCCTTGGCCTGGTTGTTGTGAAGAAAAACCTTCCTAAATTTATGAACACTAAAATTACCTGACAGATGAACCAAAAACTCAAAGTCATAAATTAATGTAACAAAAACTTGTGAGAGCAATTTCAAGTTTTCTGTCCCACCCTGCATACCCCGTGCCCAAACTACCCTCCAGTGAATATGGGGGATTCAGAAAAATCCAACTGAATGTTGTACACTTTGAGGTGGACCAAGAGAACTTCATTCTTCCTGTGCTCCTTAAGATCAAGCTGAATGCATGCAGAACTGTCAGTTTGTTTTCAATATCTGTGAAAACAGCTAGAGGAAGAAGTACTCTTTTCTCCCAAAAAATTTATTTATCTCCTATGTCTGGCTTTGGTAACACTAAGAATATAGAGCAACACAAAAAATACTCAGATAACATAACAACATTAATAAATTACCAGTCATTACTCTGGTGAAAAGATTTTAAAATAGTGGAGGAGAAAAAGATAACTGCCCAGGGTCACACACTTGGGAAACATTTGTCAGAAGTCTAGGGAGAAAAAAGTGTTTTAAATATTTTCAAATTCATTGAATTAAAATAAAATTTAAAGTAGACAATGTCCTCTGAAGTTCAGAATTTTATCATTTATAATTCATAACAGTTAATAATTACATTTTATTTGAATTTTCAGTCACCTGGCTAGTCATATAAATAAAGATAGATAAGACATTGTTCTTTTGGGAAGCTGGTTGTCGTGGTATCTGTCATTCCTTATGCTAGAAAATCAGAATCAGAGACAAGAGTCAAAATCAATTGGCAGTGTGTCTGAGAAATGCTGAAACACAATGGGAGCTGCTTTGCATTTTTTTTTTATTTAATCAAAGTTAAGACCGGTGGATAAACATAAATACAGCACAATTACTTCAGATCATTCTTCATATTTGTGTACATACAGACTGATGAACTTAATCCCAGTGAAACCTGCAGTCAGCAATGAAGTGCATACAGCCTTTCCTCCCCTCACTCAAAAAGAATTTTTAAAAACCACACAAACTTATAATCTCATTGGCACACACTCTCTCATTACAAATGATTCATACATAAATAGGTCGTGGGTGCAAAGAAGCTAATATGCTAACATATGTATAACCTTTGTTAATGAAAAACAGAAGCAGCCATAATGATTAAAATACATTCAGTTACTGATAACTAGTTGTGCCATAAGGGGCATTATCCAAAGAGAAATCGTGCTGCAGAGAAAAACTATAGATACACACACAATGAGAAAATAAACTGCTGCAAGGTTAACGCATGCATGTTTAATACTGGAAAAGCACAGCCCTCCAATATTTCTCCATGTTTGTTATAAAAGCCCTCTGCACTCAACTAAAATTAAAATGATCTTAAAAGGATAATACTTGTAAAGTTTACTTAAGTCTTTTCAGCCACAGAAACTGCAATGGAAATAAATGTTCAGAGTCATTTTCAAAACAAAAACAAAAATCTATTCTTCTGATGACATGCATGATTAAAAGGTCTATGCAAGATACATTGCTCTACATTCCCAATGACTAGGAAAAAAAAGCTCAAGTCAATTTAGTTTGCAGATGGTCAAAAGGATTTTTGTATTCCAGCAGGAGATCAAATCTTCTGGATCTTTTCCCCAACAACTACTGGATTTTCTTTTCTGATTTTCTCAGCAGCATCAGCTTTGTAATTGTAAGAGCAATTGTGCACATCTGAATAACGGTGCACACCACAGTAAACATTTCCACACCGGCATTCAAACCCTGAAAACAGAAACAGCCTATTAGAGGCACAGGATCTTAGCTAAAAGAACTAAAACATCATGGCTGCTGATGGCTGAACGAAAGGACTTAACCATAAGAACAGGTCATATCAACAATTCAACCATTTTGAAACATGAGTAAATCTCAAGCCAAATCCCACGTTCAGGGCAAGCAGTATGATCCCAATTGCTAAACTAATCAAAATAATGGGAAGCATGACTCAGTGAGTCAAATGATATTCTGAAAACTACATTCTGAGAGCTCCACTTCTGGTTCTGATTGGTATGATTCTCCATGTCTAAATGGCATCACCTATCTTGTGTGATTGATCCCATAGGATTGCTGAAAGAATGAAATGATAATGTAAAATACCTCTCAAATTCAATGTCAGATGAATACTAAAACAAATATGTGGAAAATTATTATCTTTGATATTGAAAGAAAACTAAAAAGTGAGATCCTCATGTTTTAGGATATCATGGGACTTAAAGCTAGAAGGAATTTCATATATTAGTCATATCCTCTCATTTTTACAGATGAAGAAACTGAGGTCCAGAGAGTGATTTGCCCAAGATCACACTGGAAGTTAGTAGCAGAGCCAGAATTCAAAACTAAGTCCCTTCCAAATCCAGTGCTCTTTCTACTACATCACACTATTATATCCTAAGCTTAAATTTCCGCCCCTAAAAAAAACAAACCTTTATAAAAACTGTAACAGACAACCTGTGACTGATGTTGCATTTCATCTCTTCTTGCTTCCCTCTACCAACCTTCAGCAGAGGTGCTAATTATTAGTGAAAGAAATGGCCAAAAGATTAGCAGCTGCAAGAAAGAGGGGGGCAGGGGGTGAGGGAACACAAGGAACTGTGGATAATCCACAAATAAATATGGTCTTTACAACTATGCCTGATTTCTCCCAGTGGCTATGAGCTAGCAATTTCACCACCTATTCTTATGCTGTCAAAGATTCTAGAAGATGAACCACAGCAATCAAATGGAAAATACAATGTAAAAAGCTCACCTCAGGAATTAGCCTTCCTTTGTATGTCTAAGTGATTAATTTGAGAGCAATGTCTTTTAAAAGTGAGATTAATCATAATAGCCAAAATTGCATATATTTAATAGTAAGCATTTATATAAATAGATCTATACATGCATTTCACTTTGGTTTTCTTTAAAGAAAAATATTTCCAATTCAAAAAATAATTCTTTATAGACTATTAAAATGGAAAAGGCTTTCAAGGGAGCATATGGGGTAATCTTCATTACCAGTTCTATGAATGTCATTAAATACAGGTTCAGATATCATGATCACTCCAAGAAATTGCTCCCTCTTATGGCAATACTCCAAGGCACAAAAACAATGCGAACCAAAGTCACTCATAGGAAACCACACTTAGACACCTGTTAGGTAAGTATCCAGTTTAATCTTAGATAATGCATGTCCTTCTTTTTCTTACCAGTCAGTCCCACTTTCTTCCTGCACATGAAACAGCGATTCTTTTTTTGTTTTGGTTTGTCAAGTGACTTGTTTTGCTCTTCAGAAGGCTGCTGTGCAGTGTCCGATACTGAAGCTAACAAAAACAGGAATGTGATGATGAAATGATCATTTAACAAAATCTTGGTGTCACACAATCAATGAATATTAAAGCTAGAAAATGACATTAGATATTATATACATCCAAACAGGTAAGGAAACCGAGGCCTAATAAGAAGGGATCTGAAGCAACTTGCTTAAGTTGGAAGAGCTCATAGTTCAGATCAACCAGCCAGATCAACTAACTCCAAGTTCCATGCCTCAATATACCATACCATGCTCTCATTACTAGATTTAACTTAAAAACAGTAACAAAACCAAAAAATTACATGCAAATAAAAGGGATTCTCTGAGCCCAGTCATCCAAGAGATTTTAAAAATTAAAATCTCAATGACAAGTTTCAAAAATGACAGGCTGACCTAGGGCAAGAATTCATGCCACATAATTTAAGAACTAGGAAAGAGAAATAGGTCTGAAGACAAAGTTCCAAAATGAATAGAAATGGTTCCAGGAGGAAGCACTTTAAAAAAAAAAAAGTTAAGATTAGAATTGCAACAACCACTAAAATTGTGTGCCGCCCAGCCCCTAGCCCCAGCTTCAATGGCTTTCTACCACTTACAGGACAAAGGTTATATCTGCAACCTGATCAAAAGATTACATCTGCCACCTGATCTACTGAACACCTAACTCAAAGCCTTTGCTCCTGTTGAACTCATTTATATGTTGCTTCCCCAAAATGACATTTATTCCGATTATCACAGATTAATTCAATGTATTGTCATGTCTAGAATGTTTATTCTATTTTGTAGAATATTCTATGCTGTTTATTGTCATGTCTGTTCTTCATCCCTATCTTTGTTTAATTAAACCCTACTCTTTCTTCAAAGTTAGCCTCAAGGTTAAAGAGTTTTTATCTCTTCCATAAAGACTCCTACTTATTGCCCTAACCTTTCAGCAATGTCCCCTAACTGTAACTCCTATATCACCAATCATCTGCACTTAATAAATAGCTGAGGTATCTGGCTTGGCTTCCTAATTAGTGTAAGCTCTGTGAGGGCAGGTATCTCTCACTTACAACAAGCAAAGTATGCTACGCATAGATGCTCAATAAATATTAGCTTTTAGCGGTGGTGGTGGTGGTGATGATCACTTATTTTTAAAAGTTTTCTGGGTTAATTTAACAGTTTTTTTTTTCACTTAAACCAAATATGACTGAGGTCAAAGTAATTTTAACTTGCTAAAAATATATGATACTGAAGACTTCAAATAGTGTACTTATTCTACTAACTTGATTTTCTGTATAAAGACTTGAAGACAGTTTTACAGAATATGAAAAATATATCCCCTTTGGAAAATTGAGATTTAGTTACACTTATTTAAGAGGAAGGAAAAGAGACCCCACTATAAGTAAAAACTTTGTGTGTGGAAGTGATCAAACAATACTAGGCTGTGACCATCGAGAAAATTCAATCTCATTTTCCTTGACAGTCAGAAATCAGGTCTAACCTGTATGTTCTCTTTACATTAATAAAAATATGACGAACAACCTGAAACAGCTAGTACTATATTTGGGGGCTACAAGACTACTTCATGACTGACTTCAAGACCGCAAATTATAAAACATCAAAACTGGTTTAGCCAGGGTAGATGCACATTTCTTAAAAGTATTTACGTGAAGAAAAAGAAAAAAAGGAATTAATCTGTAATAAAATGGATCATCATCACACCTAAAAACTTCAGTAATAAGCTTTTACTGCATTAAGTCCTTTTAAAATGAGCATAATAGATTGTAGTTTGTATATGAAAAAGAATGAATCTGGGGTTCTAAAGGCCAACAGATCTGTCATGACTGCATGTAATGAGAAAGCTAAGTCCTAGGCCAGTAGACAACATGATATCTACTTTATTATCTCTGACTGACAACGACTATTTCTAGGTGAAAGTATAAAAGAGAAAGCTAATACAAATAAGTAAAATAAATTTCCTAAATAAGCTGTTTGCCTTAATTTGGGGGCAAATAACCTGATTTAAAGAGCCTACAAGCTCAACAGATATCCCATGCAAAACCTTTTACTGAACTTGGGATCAAAAATGAGACCTAATTATACTATTAACTTTGGTGACAAACAGAGGTCTCAAATCAGGTTTACAAAGTCACCTATCTGTCAATGGCAAGCCTACATAGGTGTTAGTTAACCTGGCTTATTATACTCCTTAAGCCCACTTTATTTATTTTGGTGGAGAGGGGAGAGTAGGAGAGCAAAGAGATCTGAAAGGCTGTGATGGGGAAAACAGGGTTTTCATGTTCAGAAGCTTCCATTATTTGGGGGAGTTAAATTTAGGCTCTGTTAACCACTAGCCATTATAACTGTTTAAAAAGCACCAGACAGGTAAAATTAAATTAACTATCCACATGGAGGATCACCCTCAAGAGGAACAAAGCCCTCTGCTCTGGGTCCTGTAAAAAAAAGAAGTGCATGAATAAAAATAAAGTACACAAATTATTAGCACTTGTAAAGACAATTCTTTAATATTTAATGGTGTACTCAGATAAGCAAAATTACTGAGTGGAATAGATATCACTTGTACCCAAACTACAGACACATCATTATCTTAATATTTTAGGAGAGCAGACAATGGTGAATATAACAATGTACACTTATATATCATAATTTATAGTTTCTTCACAACTCTTTAAGATAGGTAATAAAGGATGCAAAGCATGACAGGTATATATTGTATCTATATTAATGTATGGTTTTCCTGGACAAAGTAAATCTTAATAAAAATGAAACAAATCACAATGTATGCTTCAAAAGTAATACCATCTCATTTCAAAAATGTAAATGAATCTTTATGGATTTTCTACTATTTGTTATCTAAAGAACTGCCAGTGGATTACCCTTATTAAAGCAACATTTTGACCACCTAATTCCTCTTCTCTTTCAAACAGCTATCTTGGGGAGGAGGTGGGGCAGGGGGATGGTGAGTGTGAGGAGGAAGAAAGAAGTCATTTTTTCTTTTAAGCTTAACATCCCACATCCGCAGTACCTTCAACTCATCTGTATATGTTCCCTCCCTATCCTCTTCTTCTAGATGAAAAACAGCTTGACTTTCCTAAAATATGGCTCTTGAATTGACCAGGGGTGATATGTACAGAGGCTACTGCCCCCATTTTGGATACTATGCCTCTCAATGCTGCCTAAGATCACATTAGCTTATATGACAGATACATCATACTGTTAGCTTGTGTTCATTAAAATCCCTACAGCTAGCATTCAGTCCACGTCACATTATCTTATCCAAAAGAGTGACAGCTTTGTCCAAAAGCTTGCTAAAATCAAGATATATCAAGTCTACAATATTACTTGATCTATGGACCTAAGAAGAGGTGAGTTTTACACTCAAAAGGCACCTCTCTGCAAAATTCTAGCAGTCAACAGTTTCTTCTTGCGTTCACAAATCATGACATTTCCTGCATTATACTAGATTTATTCTTCTCTTATTTTGTTCTTTAACTCTTCCTGTTTGTATCTTCTCAGCAGAACTGCATATCCCTTGAGGGCAGAGGCTGTACAACATCATTCCTCATATTTCTCACTTTTATACAATGCCTGGCACATAGAAACAGTAAATATATATTTATTGACTTATTACAGATAAAAAAACTTCTGAGTTACAACAAAAAATGATGCAGAAAACGAAACAGCATTCATTAGAAAGAATGTAGTACACAATAAACCAAAAGCCTCCAAGCAAAAATCTGTTATTTTTAAATGAAAATATTTCATTATTTATGATACCCAGAGAAAGTCTGGTATTACACAATATTCCCAGTGGTGGTTTCCATGAAAAAAAAACTCATGATCTAGAACCAGGAAGCATTTTAAGACCTGTTCTCATAGGGGTACAGTGTGGTATGGTGAAAAGAGCACTGGATGTGAGCTAAAGAATCTAGGTTCAAAACACGGCCCTGCTACTTACTAACGATATTGCTTGGGGCAAGGCACTTCTCTCTGGGCCTCAATTTCTTTTACTGTAAAATTGCAGGAATGGATTAAATGATCTGAGATCCCTCCCTTCCAGCTTAAATCCTCTATCTACAGTAATTTAAACCAAATCAAAGCACTTAATATGGAAAAAACAAGTGCCCTTAAGATTCTAGGCAGACCAGCTGCTTTCATAACATCAGTATGACAAAATTAAGTGTACTATTGGTTCTGTAAATGTAAACTTGACTCTTAATACCAAACATTTCTCTTACCACTCCATTTATTAAGTGGAGGTGGCAATATCACAATAACAAAATATGCCTAAAGCCAGTATTTTGCGTGACCTTGAAAAACAGTAAATAAGCATTAAGATGGCTCTTGCCTCTGAAAATGACTCATCAAAGGGCATGGGTAGAAAAGACCTATGCCCTTTGCTAAGTAGTAGAAATACACTCTGGTCTTAGTTTATTCACTAATTTGTGTAAAAATAAGCTTACTGGTCTTTAATACAATGGAAAGAGCAGCAGAATCAAGAAATCTCATTTTAAACCTCACTTCACATATCCCATTCCTTTGTGACCCTGGTCAAGTCATGTCTCTTTGAGCCTTAGTCTGCTCATTTGTCAAATGAGGGAAATGGATTATATAGCTGGTGAGGTCCCTTACTGCTCTCTATCTATAATTCTATAAACAAGCTTGAATGGGGATGAATGTTAGCAACGGGCATATTATGACAAGGGAGAAACAGCAGAAGCAGCAGAATCACCAACTTCAGGGCTAACTGGGATCACTAAAAAAGGTAAACAGTCCTACGTTCTTTAAGACTCTTAAGCATATTTATGATTAAGCCACTGAGAAGCTAGTTATGTTCAGCGTAATATTTTATAAGGCATATTTATGTAGTAGGCACTTAATGTCTGCTTAATGAATGTAATTTTCCAGATAACTACAGCTTAACCTTATGCATTCAAACTCTTAAAATACTTTTGCATTTATTATTCATTTGTGGAACCTCTCATTTCTCAATGAGATGAAATAAATTAC